TAGGTTACAACATTAATGGTGTTCATATATCTATCAGACCAGAAAGAAGCGGGGGAAACAATTTTTTTTTAGATCTTGAAGAATGGTCAGAATTCTAATATCGCCTGTCATTAATTTGCGAGGTGTAAAATTAACCAGCGGCTCTAGAACGTTACTGAATTTCTAAAATCCTAATTGATCTGACAAATCAAGGCGTCAGTTAAACGCTAGATTCGTTGTTTTCATCAGTGTTATATCAGTAACTGTTAGTTATATCTCATTACTGCCCTGCGATTCTCTAAAAATCCAAACCCGAATTTGAATTCACTCAGGTGTTCAAATCCATTACAAAAAGCGGCATCCGTTTAATCTTGAATTAGTAAAATTTCGTTTCGTGGCATAAGTGATATGAGTTTCGAAATGACATAGTAATAGAACATCTGAGACACGTATAATCAATCAATTTTGTTCTGTATTTTTATACAAAAAATGGAATCAATAGAATTTCTTCACTAAATGACATGAATTCGAATTCGGGTTCGCATTTTTACAGAATCGCTATCCTGGAGTAAAATCTTTTCCAAATAAACTCTACTAAAAATATACCCGTAGATTTATGTTTCTTAATAGAATACTCTTTATGCATTTGATAGAATATAGGAACTATTCGGAATGCTAATTAACATAAATGAATATAAATAGGTTTTCATATAGACCTTGTCTAGGCAAAGTTTTACAGTTAAAAGCTTTCGATTAGAGCTTTAAATTATAAAAATTTAGGTTATAAAAATATAGTGACGCGTGAACTACTTTTTATGACAGTAAATGACGATTTCCGTTCGATTTTCTAAGACAGCATATCTTTAAAACAAATAATAATAATAATGGTTTGTATTTGAAGTATTTCACCGAATTATAATACATAAAATCATATATATTTTGATAAAGTAGCTGCGTGGCGTAGTGTACTCACCGCGGCCCGCGATCGTTGTTGTTGAGCAACTTCCATCACGAGATGGGTGACCAAAGAATATTATCTCGAGTTACTCCGTACTTCGAAACACATTTCACAGTTCGGAAGGTCCGTTAAACCGTTAATCCCGGCTAAACTTGCAGTTGTTAATGCCCTTCAATCCACATTGGACCAGTGTGGAGGGTCATGGCCCATAAGGAAGGCCTGAGCCCCTGCAGTGGGACCGTAAAAGGGCTGGTGATGATGAAATTATTTTGTTGACTAATAACTATTAGTAAATGAGCTTCAAGAATACTGGTTGAGTTATTTACGGAGCTTTTTTAAGATGAATACAAATTTGCCCCAATCGAACACTCTAAAGGACACTGACGAATCGCCCGCATTTCCAGCCACCTTTTAAGTATTTTCTTTTGAGATAATATTTTTTAATTGTTTTTTTTTTAATTAATTGGTGTACTATCATCAATAACATTAGAACAGAAGATCGTAATGATTTGAATAAGAATCGTAATGTACTCGATACCTCTAACTCGTAGGAGTTGTAAGTAATGTCTCTGATCGTTATTTTCGGGTTTCGACACATTCGTCCGAGGGACGTTGACGAATAGCTAGAAGGCGGATAGACAGATTGATCGACGAATTACGTGGCTAACATGATTTATAGCTACCCGGATACAGTGCGAGACGAGGATTGCTATCCCTCAGGATTCAGCGATAGTTGAATCTGATGACTTGTTACTTTAGTCCGAGACATATGTGCGTGACGTAATTGATGTCGCGCTTGTCGGCTTGACTTTCAAGAGAAGCTTTACTGATAAATAAGTAATTATATATTTTTTTAATTTACATGACTGTATTTTCTTCTATATGTTTGACTAAATACCGTCTTTATTATCTTTAAGAAAAATGCTTAATAAATCACCAACCTAAAGTGCTCGATATGGGATACCAACCCATAACCTAACGCAATGCTGCCTAGCCATTTGATTGCAGGGGCTCAGGCTTTCCTTATGGATGGTTAAGGAGGATGGGCCATGACCCTCCACGCTGGCCCAATGCGAATTGGAGGGTATTAGCGACTGCAAATGCAGCCGGGACCAACGGCTTAACGTGCCTTCCGAAGCACGAAGTAGCTCGAGATAATAATTTTTTGTCATCCATCCCGTGACCGACACTTGCGAAAGTTGCTTCGCGATCGCGGGCCGCAGCGCTTATACACTACGCCACCGAGCTACATAGCTCGATAACATTACAAATTTCCGAAACAAAATCAATTGCAGATGGCATCCGAAACAAAATTAAGAAATATTCTTTATTAACTTTATTAATATAAGAAATTCATTGAAATAATTTAATCATTTTTTCAATTGAAAACGTTTCACATCTGAAATTATATTATTGTGCTATACTGTACACGTGTAAACATTTCAACAACTTATTAAAATAAACTTTATTAATATAAGAAATTCATTGAAATAATTTAATCATTGTTTTCATTTAAAACGTTTCACATCTGAAATTATATTATTATGCTTTACTGTACACATGTGTAAACATTTCAACAACTTATTATGACGAAAATTATTTTTGAGGATATGATGCGGGAGTTACTCATCTTATTTCCCACTGTGCATAAACATTTCACAGAGAAATATAGTACTTAAGATTACAAAAACCCGTATAATACAATCATTTACAGCCATGAACGTACCCAGGGCAAAATTGGTGCGCTTGTCCCACCATCAACCCTGACTTGAGAAGCTATGTATATATGAAGTAATAGAATGAAATATCTATACTAATATTATAAACAGGTGAAGTTTTGTTAATTGATGGTATCCTCAGAAATACCAAATGATCCGACCATAAACACAGATAGCAACTTAAACTTGTTTCTGACTTGCAACAACTTTGATACATCAAAAAAAAGTTTGCCATGACAACTGCAGCAACTTGCAGCAAATTTAAATCAAACTTTATAGTTTAAGTCTGACAAACTTGCACTACCTTTGACGTGTCAAAAGTAGTGCTACGGTAGTGATATTATACTACGATAGTATTATTATAAATTATTATTAATACTACGGTAGTAGTAATAATAATTTTCCTAGGTACTGACTCGAATACCTAGCAGGTACTCGGGTACTCGAGTACCTGGAATTAAGATTACTAAGGTTTTATTAATTTTTTGATCATTCAAGACTTTTGGTCCAAAAGCGATTACAACATTAAACTCAGACCACAGCATAGGGCCTAACCTCAGAGCCAAAGTAATTAACTGGAACGGTTGATTTCGAATCCCATATTACGGTCACATAAAACGGCATATTACTTATGCAATCTATCAATATAAACTGATACAGCGATGCATTAAATGAACAGTGCTATCTAGTTTGCAGACTTAGAACTATTCGGTCACCTATGAAGATGATGGGTGTGTTACATATAAGTATCTTTGTCATAACAATATTGCCGCAAACTTGAAACTTCATATTTAACATAACAATATTGCAGCGACATTATCACAAACTTGCCTCGTATATTTGATGCGGCAATTTAGAATCAAAGAAACTTCAAACTTGCCCCAAGTTAGCATGCTATCTGTTCTTTTACCTACGGATAGCTCGTGATTTAGGCTACATATAATTTAAGCCGGCGCAGTCTTGGGAAACAGCTGATTTATTTCATATAAGTAAAAAAAAATCGCAATTTAAGCTATTGATTGTGTGTTTTATTGAAATAAGGTTATCGTTAAAAAGAATTGGAAGTTCATATTATTTTTGGAGTTTCTTTACTTCTACCCAAGTAAACGCCGAAATGAGGAGTGGTGCAGTGGTTAGCGCACTCGGTTTCCGGTCATAGGACGGGGGACCAAAAAAGTTATTATCCCGAGCCCCTCCGTTCTTCAGATGGCACGTTAAGCCGTAGGTCCCGGCTTCATCTGCAGTCGTTAACACCCACCAATCCGCAATCGGTCCGCCCTATTCGATTAAATCCATAGAGAAGCCTGAGTCCTAGCAATAGGGACACTTATACGCTGGTGTTGTTGATGATGAAGTAAATGCCGAGTACGTCAATGTTTACAGCTGTTATTATTTGATAATTAAATTCCATATTATTTTAGTTATGAAATGTTAATATTTAATATTGTTGAAACCATTACAACTGTGTTTATTTAGTCGGTTATAGCCCTGACTCAAAAACTCGTCGTTGAAAGATTTTTTTTTCATATGTGTATATAATGTTCATAACTGAAACTATAGACTTCGAAATAATGTTTCAATCATAATTCAAATAAAGTAAATTTAGGCTTGGTACTTTTATGTCTATTAACCTTGTATGTTTGCAAAAAAAATTGAATGTATTGACTTCCTTTTATACGAGTATCTACTGACAAGTAACTTGTTCCAGGAAGTTAAATTTCAAGGCTCAAATACTTATACGATATATTATATGTTATCTGAATACTAGTAAAAGTTTTGCGATGCAGCATTTATGTATATTTTACTCCAATGTAATGACATATTTAGTGTTAGTATTAATTTACAAATTACATACATTTAATTTACCATACCAGAACACCTATTTCTTAGCGGAACGAATCAATAATGTTCAAGTGATACAACATGTTTTTGAATAAAAGTTATTTGTAGTGACTACTAGTATACTTCTTTCATGAAATTAAATACGTTATTAAATAAGTTTATAACACAATCCTGTTGTCTCGTAACTTTGTCCCCGTAAATTATAACTTACATTATATGGGAGGACATACCCCATATAATTTAAGCTACATTATATGCGAGTAGATGAAAGAATCTTAAAATTGGTCTATAAATTTCGGAGCTTATTCGATGCATACAAAGAAATAATCAAATCTTTCCTCTTTATATCTTTAATGTACATATACTCGTATTAACAAATATTTTCTATCTCCTCCTTTTAAGTCTGCATTTTTGTCCGAGATAACAATTTACGCGCCTCTTGTATTGTATCGATGCAAACGAACTAACAGCGTCCAAGATGTACAAACACAAACAGAGAGTTAATGGAAATCCTCAATCCAATTTTGCCAAATAATTGCTTAGACCCACCTGGTTTAGGCAACAAAGCCGCCCCACCGACATTGTTCACCGAAGGTTTTATTAGGCCAATGTTACAGCTCATCGCAAATTAACACAACGGACCACAATATTATCTGGAACATGACCAACGCCCTTTACCTCCCTTTGCCTTAATAGGTAATTTTCCCCCAATAGTTATCTTGTAAGAGGTGAAATTGACAGTAATTGATTTGTACCCCAAATTGCTGCAAATCTTTGATCGAGAAAGACACTTTGTCTACTAAATAAGGAAATGCAAGGAAGCTTAAAAGCTTTATTACATTTATTTAATTATTCAATATTATCCTTTAGTCAAATATTTACTTTTATCTTTCCTGTCGGGTTGGCATATTAGAGATTAACGACCGACCGACCCTTTGAGTATTTTCATTTATTATCTCAAACAATAGATTCCGAAATTGTTATACTTATTTTATCAAATAATAAAACATCGATTATTGTATGATCCTATTCTCTGTAACGATGGACCTTTGTTTTTCGTTAGTATAAGCCTGCTTGGGGTTGGGCGTTTATTAGGAAATTGGAAGTATACTACAACAAAGGGCCTTAAATTAAATCAACTGCTCCAATATTCCCTATGGAGGGAGTGTGTAGATGGGACGTGTCGCTGCCATATTGACTTTATATTGATTAAATACAGGCGCACAGCACACAAATCGGCTTTTATCTGTTTCTTGTCTTATACCCACCATTTACCAACTCTCTAAAAGGACACAATCAATTTATAGTAACAAATTTTAGTATACTTTGAAACAAATTAAGAAACTTAAGTCGAACCCGCTCTTTGAAAATAAAAGTTCCCTTACAATAGAGAAAATAGAAAATGAACAATGTTAAGAACTTTTGTCCTGCAATATATTATTATATCATGTTCGTGAAACTTGTGTGTTTTGTTTCTTTCTGTCTGCTTTTGTATTGTTTATCGGAAACAAGAGTTATGAAAGGTTTCCTTTGGTGATATTTACCGCTATTCTTGTATTTACTGTATTTAATAAGTAATTCTCGGAAATATTTCTGATTATTGTTTGGTTTTTGCTTGTATAGATTAATATTAACTTGCAAAGACTTTCTAAAGAATCCATATTTCTTGTGAGCGTTACATGTAATCTAATTATGAAGCCAAATTTAGTCCCCATAATAATAAGCTATTGTTTTGAAGTGTCATATAAAATTAAGACAGTTTTTATATAATTGTTCTTGTTTTTGTCATAGATTCCATCAAAATGACATCGCCATCGAAACAACGCCTCAAAAAACAGACTTGGTGCAGACGTTTGATGTACAAGAGGTTGCCCATAACAAGATGGATAACGGAATATAACTCTGAGAAGGCTGTTGCTGATATCATAGCAGGGATAACGGTTGGCCTTACAGTCATACCACAGGCTTTAGCATATGCCACACTAGCAGGTTTAGATCCTCAGGTATAATGAACTTTGAATACATATTTGGATGATATAATAATACATTAGGCAATACATTTCTCTATTCATAATCATGAACATTGCTATGATAAAATTCCGGACCCGAATCTGAAGTCACTCAGATGTCTGAATTCATTTCGGAAGCGGCATCCGCTTAACCTTGAATTTATATAAACATTTCGTAGCATAAGTGATGTGAATTTCGAAATGACATACGGATAGAATATCTGAGACACGTATGAATCAATCAATCAATCTTGTACTTTTATAAAAAAATAGAACCAATAGAATTTCTATAGTAATCTAAGTTAAGCAAATGTCGCGTGTCGAAGTTAATTCAGACACCCGAGTGTATTCGAAATCTAATTCGGATTTTTTAAGGAGTTGCTCGGCGGTTATCTAATTTCAATAATAAAAAAAACTAAATATAAATAAAAAAAACGCAATACGTAAATATGTTTTACTAATTTTTATATTTTCTATCTTTAATAGTATGGCTTGTATTCATCGTTCATGGGCTGCTTCGTTTACATCTTCTTCGGGTCCTGCAAAGATATCACTTTAGGACCGACTGCTCTAATGGCACTAATGACGTATCAACAAATCCAAAATAGAAATTCAGACTATGCTGTGTTACTTTGCTTCCTCACCGGAGTAGTACAGTTAATTATGGGAATCTTACATTTAGGTATGTAGTTTATAACTTCATATATAGCAACGATTATGCAATCTCCATAAAAACTTGAGATTATTTTATATGCTGTTAGGGTCGGTTCATAATACTATAGCGAGCATGTCAATGGTATGAGTTAAAATGCGGTAGTGCAAGTTTGAATGTTTTATTTGACATTTGTCTGTTGTAATGTTACGCGACCTATGATTCAAGCTTTAGGTTATGCAAAAGGAAAAGGCATTTATTTGTCTTTTAATTTCTCAAATCATCATCATTCATTTTTTCATCACCGGCCCTTTTACGTCCCCACTGCAGGGGCTCAGGCCTTCCTTATGGATGGTTAAGGAGGATGGGCCATGACCCTCCACGCTGGACCAATGCGGATTGGAGGGTAATTTCTCAAATATGTAACTGACAATAGTTTCCCTAATTTAATAAAAAAATTGTTAGCGTTATTAAGCTTTTCTGTAAATTTCTTCACACTTATCACTTAATAGTTGATTCCTAACAATTTATTTATTTCGCATTTGATACTGTAACCATAGACCACAATGAATTGTAATTTTTAAATAACGTCATAATTCATTAATAAAAGTGATTTAATGTCTTAAGTGCCATCAGGTGATCAAATAAAGGCAACTTCGGGAAACTAAATGAAAGCTCTTTTAGTCCTCAGGGCTGTAAACATGCGGGGATTGCAATGCAGTCTATGTAGTTTATGTTTATATACATAGATGTATACGTTAAGTTGTCACAAAAACTTTGAAAACATGTGTGCTTTATACATAGCACCACAGTACCATCTTGTAAATATAGGTATAACGGTGTTCGCAAGATAAATATCCTGAATGAGTAGCCTCATATTTAGACTTTCCCCTGAAGAACCTCATTCAGCAAGTTATTACAATAAATAACTCACAGTTTGACACAAATCTCCTGGTCGCATAAAAAGTTTCGAGTATTGTTGACTATTACGTCAACCTGGGAGTAAAAGTTTATCGGGGCCACAACAAATTCCACTTTTCTATCTGTGGACTACCGAAATTATTGACTTGCACGCATCGAAATTCTTATAGTAAATTTTGCGCTATACGTATAAGATACTTGAGTAGCTCGGTGATGTAGTAGATAATCACCGCGGCCCACGATCATTGTTGTTAATTAATTTTCGCAAGGGTCAATGACGGGATGGGTGCCTGAAAAAAAAATACTGTCTCGAGCTACTCCGTGCTTCGGAAGGCACGTTAAGCCGTTAGTCCCGGATGCATTTGCAGTCGTTAACACCCTCCAATCTGCATTGGGCTGGCGCGGAGGGACATGGCCCTCCATAAAGAACGCCTGAGCCCCTACAGTGGACGTTAATTTCGATTTTAACTTAATATTTAATGAGTACTCAATTTGTCTTCTTGATACGAGACCTTCTTCTTTTCGTATCGATTTTACATGAAGAGAGAATTTACATCCTTGCTATGTTTGTTTTATTTTGTTTGTACAGGTGTTTTAATAGACTTCATATCAGTCCCGGTGACAGTAGGTTTTACGTCAGCAACCTCTGTAATCATCGCAGTTTCACAAATAAAAAGCCTCTTGGGTCTGCAATTTAAATCTGCTGGATTTTTGGACACTTTACAGAAGGTAAACATAAACATATTTTAAAAAGCTTATTATGTTCTGTATAAAATAATAAACCACAATTTTGTTAGTTGACCAAAAAATAAAATTACGAAACGCTTCCGCTTCCTGGAAATTCTGACCACGTAAAGTCATAATAAAGAACACTGTATTCATCCATTATTTCATTTTTATTACTTTTCATATAAATCAAATTCCACATGCTTCGTGTTATTTTGCCTGGAATGTGTATTTTTTTATCAAATTTCTATATATCGTTTTATACTACCAATTGCCAAAAGAACATACATCGCTGTCGCACATATAACCTCCTCCTTTTTGATTTTGAAGTATGTTTAAAAGAAAATAATACTATTTCATAACTTTATAACTCGAACTAACATGACACCCGGAGGCCTTTTCTATTGTCCTCAGACGAAAATGTGGGAAATTTCATTTTTTCTTACAATTTTATTAAAATCGTTAGGTGTATATCAGAGGCATTGTCAGGTTCTAACTCAGTTGTATCATACATCGAAAAAATATCTTCTATAGAGTAGTATTGGTATTTTGAAAATTAGAAAAAGAATTGGGCCTTCTGGTGTCATGATAATTCGTACAAGTAGTACTTGTAGACTTTATGGTATTATAATAATACGTTTCTTTTTTCAGGTCTTTAAAAATATACCTAATTCTCGATTAGCGGACAGCACACTAGGCATTTCGTGTATTATTATTTTATTACTAATGCGAGTAAGTATATTTTAATTAAATTAAGATAGTTCTTGTCACATAGGAAGACTAATAATTTTTGAAAGCTCAATTATTAAGAACTCTTTGCTTGTTTTCAAAATTATTTGAAAATAGTAGGTTTGTTAGACAGCCCTTACCTCTATATTAATAATATCTTTATTAAATTTCTTTTATGTTCTTCGTTTATTTATTTAACCAATTGACTATATAACAATAATATTTTACATGAAGATTTTTTTTTAAATTTGTTAATCCCAAGTGCCTCAAGATTAATGGAACCGACCACTTTTCATTCATTCAACTTGAATGTTTTCTCAAAATTTATGAAAGTAATTCTTAAAAACATTTTTTTAAAAAAGTAAGTAATAACATTGTTACAGAAAATAAAAGACGTAAATCTGTCGCCTAGAAGGAAGAAATTAAAAAGAGCGTTATGGCTACTGTCTACGTCGAGAAACGCATTAGTTGTGATCTTATGTTCGGTGACAGCTTACGTTATGGAAAGACATTCCAGTGACTTTTTCAAGTTGACCGGAACTGTGAGGTAAATTACCACAATAATTTGAAATTATTCTCTACTATTACAAACTGGTAGCATTTAGTAGGAAATATAAGGCTTCTCTTATTGCCAGGTTCTAGAGCTTTTCGTTAATTTTATAAATACGATTAACACAACGCATGATACCACATAACGGAAATCACAAAGTATTGTACACACAAAGTATTGTACAGTTGCCAGCACGTCGTCTAATACAACATTGCCAAATTTCGTTATTTTATTTAAAAAACCTTATTTCATTAGGTTTATTTTATTACAGATCTCAAAGTTTAAGTTCATAACTGCGGAATTTTGACATATCATGGCAACTTCACATGCAAATACTTTAAAAAAAATAATGTTAACGTTTTACAGTTTGATTTTACAATATTGTTCAACATATAAATTTTCTAAATTATGTGATAGGCTTGGAGTGAACACAACTGGAGGCCTACTCGCTTTCTCGAAAACGAAATTTCGTTTACGAACGAAATTAAAACGAAATTTCGCATGTAACGCTACTCTTTATCATTTTCGTATACACCAACGAATGTTCGAATCCAAAGACAATTTTCGTGATCGATTGGAGTGAATGGCGTTATTGGATTTCTTATAATGTCAAATTCCGGTTTTTACCGTAAATTGAAATATATAATATTAAACAATACATATATTTCTTTTAAATAAAATTTTAGTGGCTAAACATTGTTTAAACATAAAATATTATAATAATATAACGAAAAACTTAGTATATTAATGAATTTTATTTTTCGTTACAACTGATCAAGACACTATAAAGAACTCATTTATCCACAGTATTAACCGACATATTTAAAAACAACCTTTCATTTATACGATGGCTATAATCATTGTATGGCAATCTTAAATATTCGTATAATACAAACGATTCTCATCCCGCCAAAAGTTTTACAAGTTTTCACCAAACTGTTCAGTGTTTACTAATATTTTATATAATTATTGTGAGTTCCGAAATTTATCTTGACAATTCAGTAAAAAACTTTATAAGTAAGTATGAAAGTAATATTTAGTTTTTCGGCACAAAAAAGGTTTTTAGTAATAAAACTTTTTATCAGTCATATTTTTCAGGTATAATGGCATAGCCTATATGCCTCGTAAAATTTGTAATATTAATGACATAATTCTATAGGTATTTATTCACAATTCATACATAAAGCCAAAATAAACAATAAACTATTAGGTACTCACTGTCTCTTAATAAGATTCCTTTCATTTTGGTTTTGAGGGAATAATATATTTTCTTATAATACCTATCTGGTGAATTAAGGATAGTCCTAACCTCCTAACACCGTGAAACTGTTTGTTGGGCCATAGGCCCATCCATGTTTTGAGATACGAATCCTTGGTAACTACCTCGGGCATAAAAATTCAACGCTGCAAGAATCATAAAAATATGAAATGCATAATGGTAGGCATGCAATTTTTTTTATCAAGAACTACGATAAAATGTCTGCCATCTTTAATTGTGGACTCGATGGCATGAGATCTTGCCTGTGGACGCAGTAAAGGACTATGCCAGGAGATCATACCTGGCATAATTCTTGAAATAATTCACAACTGAGTCTGTAGTTACTTACAAACTCAGTGTCGGGAATATTTCTTATATTAAGGCTATTTCGAAGCCGCCACCGATTTCTTCTACAGTCTAATCATTCTTCACTGAGAGCTGACTCGATTAATAGTAATATAGACCCCATTTCGAAAATAAAAAATTGCTTACGAAAATGAAAAGGTAACATTTTTTACTTCGCCAATTTGAGGTAAGAATTCCGAACAATTAGATGTCAAACTCAAATGTTCGTTTTGTCATTACGTGAAATAGAGTAGGTTTAGAAAATAAATATGTCAAACATTTTCGTTCGTTGAATATTCGGAACGAACGTAATTGTGGTAGGAAACGTCCGAAATTTCGAACGATATTTCGTTTTTCGGTGAATTAGAGTAGGCTTCCTGTTGTTCATGCCATTCCAATGCAGAGATTACCACTTTTTAAACTTTTACATGAAATCCGTTTGTTTCGAGTTGGACACTCCCATAAATCCCTCTTCTCTCACTGTACCTCCAGACAGGGGTTTTGTATACCTTCAACAAGGCCATCGCAGTCGTCTGTCTATGCCATAATAAGTTTGATAATATTTATATGACCACACTTGTATTCCACTAATAGTTAAGATAAACCGAGTCACCTTTAACTGTTTTAATGCAAATTTATTAAAATAAAAAATATATCTGCAATTATTTTTTTGTCTACGGTACCAGCCGATGTGTTTACGATGTCATTTTTAAACGGTCGTCGACAGCTAACTCAAACCGAACGACTAGTATGTATCTATCCTTGTCTTACACAGATTTTAAATCTCAGTGAATTATCAAAATATTTTACTTATTCTTTTAAATTAGATTTATTTAAAATTTTGGACATATAAAGGAGCGATATAACGACATGCAAATAACGTATTATTCTAAGTGACAAAACGTATTCTTACATTTTTATTTTCTTAATTACATGTACAAATTATTGTTCATACCTTATATATTTCAGAGAAGGTCTCCCTTCTTGGAGTACTCCGCCATTTAGTACGTCATATGGTGGAAGAAACGTAACATTCATCGAAATGTGCTCAGACCTCGGCTCATCTATAGTTTTAGTTCCTGTAATAGGAGTGTTGGGAAACGTCGCCATTGCGAAAGCTTTCGGTAAGTTGGATTAATATATTATACAATTAGTTTTGAACTTAGTTAGGTTAAGGTCTAGATTTAAAAAAGTTGTCAATTTAGTACAATGGACGTACCTATGAATAAAAACATTTTTCCCCAAGTTTTGTTTAAATTGAGACTTACAAGTCAGATGAATTAACATGATACCTGGCACTCCGTCGTCGCCATACAAGCACTGTAGAAATAACTAGATATATCAGTTTAGAGTTATATTTTTGCTGTTAGTTGTTATTGTTATCAGAATTTTGTTACGATTGGACGTTTTTTGGTTAATTTTGTCGAAGTAAAGAGAAATGTCGGTCGACAACCAAACCGAAAAATGGCGTAAAATTGATAAAGCCTATACCCAACTATGGCTTACTTTGACAGGTGTCATATTAAGTCGTCTAAGTATTATAGTACATATCAAACAAAAAGCCAATTATAATGCTCGTATCTGTAGTCGAGACAAGCAATTACTTTAGAAAATGTCAGAACTTAAGCAAATATTTTTACCAATATATGAGAATTTGAATGAAGTAAAAACTGTAAATAGCTAATAATAATAGTGTTCTAACTATTAATTGTTGTCATTCAATTCAATTTCTTATTTATTTGATTAAATATATCTGTTTAAATTATGATATATTCTCGAATAATTACTTCTGTCGACTATAGATACGAACCTTAGTGACTATATAATAAATAATGTTTTGCTTACAACACATGAACATTATCTGTTAAATATGGATATAAGAAAGTAGTTTTGTGTGTATATAACCGACGCAGAAAAGGTTTTAATTACTTTTTACTATCCATGATGTATGTATTATCGTAGCTTAAGCAATAACGATATTTGTCTCTTTTCAGCTAGCGGAGAAACGGTAGACGCTACCCAAGAATTGTTTACCCTGTCCCTCTCTAATATATTGGGCTCATTTGTGACGGCAATGCCCATAACAGGTTCATTCTCGAGGAGTGCAGTGAATCATGCCAGCGGAGTTGCAACACAAATGGGTAGTGTTTACACAGGTACTATAATAAATTATATTTTATTTTCTTGCACATAAGATTGATTTTAGATTAAATATTATTTTGATATATATGGCAATTAAAGCCTGCGTATATGTAATGAGGCCCGTATTTTAACATGTAATTGTGTTAAAATACTTCTTTTCCTCTTCAAATTATGAAACGGTCCTAAATTACCCCAGGTACCTTTTATTTTTTTAAGTTTATTTTTATATGAAATTGAGCAACTCAATCTCGCTTGTCGAGGACTTGTTACGTTTGTATCAAAATGTCGCCATGTCTGAACACCTCACAGGTTTGGGTTCGGTCCCCAGTTGGATCAAAGTAAAAATCTTTTTTATATTTTGTCGGACCTGTGTGTTATAATAATACAACATACAAATAGCACGGACATGGAGTTTTTCAGATTTCAATCTGAATAATTAGTTTGTAAATTGTAATGTAAATTTGAACAACTCGTTGTTGCCTAAAATTATTTGTACATTTTATTAAACTTAAAAATAATTGAAAAAAGCCATCTAAGCGAAAGTGTGCTTGTTTGTCCGTCTTTCACGTCAAAACGGAGCAACAAATTAGTGTGTTTTTTATGTGAAGATAGTTGAAGGACCAGAAAGTGACATTAGGCTAATTTTTGTCTCTTTTTATTCCTGCAAATTTGAAATATGGGGGGTGGTAGTTTTTATGGAGCATTCCGGAATTTTCAAGGAAGAAAGTTAAAACTTGGTATTCTAACTCTATAGTTAGCGAACAATACGTGCATAATTTTTTTATCTTTTCATTCCTTTAAAAGGGGGGGGGGGGTGAAATTTTGTACTGGACTTTCAGTAGTGTGCAAGGTAAAAAACCATAAATTGATAAACGGACTATTTTACTATAAAATACGTTTTGTTGCCAAAGAAAAATACGTTTGTTTTGATAATCTGCTGCTCCGGTGGTAAAGTAACTATGCCACGCGAACAAAGTCACGTGCTAAAACTAGTAATTAGTAATTTCGTTTTTATTACTACTATTTATATGCCAGATCCATTGTGTAGCAGACAGGAAAAAAACGCCGCAAGGCAATGCCTTTGTAAAAGACCCTTGTCTAGTTGATATTTTATCAAAATATTTTTTTACGGACTATCAAAGCTAAATTCAGTCTATTAATTAATTATATTTATTTTATTTCTATAATCAAAAGTACAACAAAAATACAACTTAACACGTTAACGTTGAAACGTGAATAACTCATGGCCAGTGAAATCTTCGAAAAATACTCAAGATATAATATATATATATTTTCCTATAATCAGGTTACCACAATATGTAAAAATTTGGTTATTGGTTTGAACTCTATCACAATACATTAAAGTTTAAATTAAATACGAGGGAAAAGGCTCTGTTACCATATGAAGCCCAACCGTGAATCTCACAGAAAATAGTCAAAATACGGGGTTTACTTTCTTACGTAAAACTTTGTTTATCCGCAGGTGTTTTAGTACTGCTGGCATTGAGTTTGCTCACACCATACTTCTACTATATACCAAAGGCATCACTTGCGGCCGTTGTCATTTCAGCTGTGATATTTATGATAGAATACGAGGTGGGTTGATATTGATAATTTGTTATCAACTTAATAATTCACATTTATAGAAATTATCAGTTTAATGGCCATATTATTCGATATATTGATTAATTAAAATGATAAAAATAATACTTTTTATTTTAGATAACATTATTACTGCTATTGTATGAGTCGTTTTGATATTGATAAAATTATTCAATAACTAAACAAATACGTGTAAATTTCATAATAATATTCTTATTTTTGACATTCTGATTACCACATGACTATTTGAAAGTTCTAACAATAAATTATGAACTTTTTTAGAAAAGGTAACTTAACAATAACTATGTAGTATTTTTTGTTTTAAAATAAATTGTAAACTTATTTCATTTTTGGAAAATTAACTGGTGATATATAATCTGTGGATTACGAGAACCGAGCATCGTGTGACGTCACATTTCAATAAACTAAACGTCAACGTCTTTGTTGATAGTGCAACCAGTATTCACGATTATTGACTTGTGACGTCACGGCTCGAAATGTCACGTGACTGATTTTTTTCAGTATTTTTAAAAATATTTATTCATTTATTTTCCCCCACAGGTTGTCTATGAGATATTTCTATAGCAATAAAATATATTATTATATTTGATCAATTTTGCATTCACAATGTTATACTGGAAAATATTCTTAATGAAAAAATCTTAAAAAATTCACTTCTGAGATGGTGTCTCAGAGTAGATTTTTCATTAAGAAAATATATTATTAACATTAACGGGTTTCTCTCAACGGGTTTTTCAGCGCGATAGATATTCATAACTTGCGACCAGGATGTTTTAAACAGTAACTGTACAAAGCACTCTCTGACACATAAAGCGATGTAATAAAATTACCAAATTATTCAATAATTTCATGCTCAATCTCTTCTTGATTTGATTTATTGTCGTAGGATAGATCATTGTCAGGTATCACCGTTTATTACATTTCATATATATTAATTGTGGTGGATGTCATTGGTGGCAAAATAATCAATTTGATTTGTAATGTCTGCGTGTAATATAAATTGTATTTTGTCACTGTTGGTCTTACCCAAATAAATAGAAAAAAAATATTACATAGCAAAGTATTGTAAATGTAATTTATTTCTGATTTAGGTAGTGAAACCGATGTGGCGTTCGAGACGCGCTGATTTGGTGCCGGCTTTCGCGACTTTCGCTTTGTGTTTAGCGATCGGCGTGGAGTTGGGCATACTGGCCGGTATAGCGGTTAACGTAGTACTCCTGTTGTATCCCAGTGCTAGACCGCAGTTGGAAGCTGAAATTGTTACAGTAGGTACTCTTTTACAATGTAATATCATTACCTTTCCTCTTCTAGACATTGGAGCGTGCATTATTAATATTTTAATTTGTATTACCTACCTTTGCGCAATTGTGTAAGGTTTTAATCTTTAGTAGTTTTTTAATATTAATTTACATTTTAATTCAATTTATCGTAGAAGGTACTCAACTACTACCTTAGTGTATTTTATTTCCTTTCGTGGACCTGCTGGTAGCAATTTCAATTTAAAATAAGCAGTGCCCTTGTAATAATGTCTCTAATAATTGTTTATGTAAAATTATATGTTTGTATAAAATGCTTAAATAAATAAAAAAATAATACTTTAGGTCCTAAAAACAATACATATAATGTTCTTAAAGTTAAGGAAGATAATATTTTATTGTATTTTTAAGCTATTAAACTTTTTTTGCCCAAGTATCATCATCATTACTTGGAAAATATTGTTATATTAATATGGTATATAGCTTTCTCACTACAAACGAGCATCGAAGACCGTGCGTTTAAAACACCCGATGTGCACAGGCCCTAAGGTGCAATACACATGCATTAGGTTTCCATTTCATTTACATTAAGTGGGAATCAGGCGAGTGGATATTGGTGAATCGCCCGATGTAGTGAATAGTTGAATCATATTATATATATATATATATTACAGAAATTATGTTTTTTTTTTTCAGAACTCTTCAGGCTTCAGTTACGTTTTAGTAACAGTAGGAAACAGCCTATACTTCCCTAGTGTAGAATACATCAGACAGTACGTAGAACGGGCAGCTAAGAAGCAAGGCGGCTGCAGCATGCCTGTTGTCATCGATTGTAGATATGTGCTTGGTTAGTATTGTGTTTTATTTTAAATACTTTTCCTTAGCTATATTCATACTTGAAAATCCAATATACAATGTGCTAGTGATCGGATATCTGGCATCATATATTAACTTGTTTTCGCATAAAGTCAAAAGGCAACCAAATTTGGTAGAAAGGCTACAAAACATTTTGATTTACTTGAAAAAGTTTGTTAAATGAGTGCGTTTGTTAGTGCTCTATTTAAATCAAAAACTGTTGTAACTTCTAATTTAATAGTCATTTGTTAACACACGTTGGTGCAATGTTTAGCAAGTTCGGTTTGCAATACAAAAAAAGCAACTTTTACAAAGGTCATTTATAAGATGGGTGACCAAAAGTAGTATTTCAAGCTCTTTGTGCTGATAAGTCTTTGGTCTCGGCCGCTTCGTTAACAATCACCAATCTGCACTTAACCTGCATAGTTATCAACCTTTCCATTTGGTTCTATCCATGGGAAAGGCCGGTGTTCTAGTAATGGGGAAATTAATACGCTGATGATATGAGATTTTCGGGGTTCCGTTTCCCGGGTGAAAAACGAGATCCTATTATTAAGACTCCGCTGTCCGTCTTTCTCCAGGATGTATCTACATATTGTGACAGTTAGACAGTTGAAATTATCTCAGATGATGTTTTTCTATTGCTGCTCAACAAATACTTAAAAACAGAATATACTCGTAATAAATATTTAAGGGGCTCCCAGAAAAACTAACGTTATTTTTTTCGTGCTTTTCGTTCTTACCGCTCGTTTCCGGTACGGAACTCGTGGTCCGCGAGTCCGACTTGCTCTTTTTTACCGGCCAGTTTTTAACCGACTTCAAAAAAGGATGTAGTTCTCAATTTGACTGTATGTGTTTTGTGTTTGTAACGCGAAAACTTCGCCAATTATGGATTGATTTTCAAAATTCTTTTTTTCATTCGACAGATTCATGGCCCGAAGTGGTTCCATTTAAACTTTATCGAAATCGAATCAGTAGTTTTCTTTTTATACCAAAACAAAATATGTCGACCTCCGTAGCCGAATGGTTCGCACGTCGGTTTCAAGGTGTCGCCATCTCTGAGGTCCCGGGTTCGATTCCCGGTCGGGTCAATGTAGAAAATGAATTTTTCTATATGTCAGGCCTATCGTAATTTCTTCTAAAGATATTTAATATTTTAGTGACACCTATACAAAATATTTATTTATGTATTACCTATATAAGTATTACTAAATATAATGAAATAAAATAATTTTTCAAAAAATAGAACTGACTTTAAATTTAAATAAGTATACTTAATTTAAAAGCGGTTAAATTTATCAAGAAACATTGAAGCCGGGAGGTTAATATTTAATAAACTACAGAAAACCACAGCCTGACTTCAATGGTTCTTGGAAAGTTTAACCGCCCTTAAAATAAGTATTATTTAATTTAGTTATTTGAAATGCCAGAAAAGTTTCCGCCGCGGTTCGAAAAAGCCGTAGACTCAGGGCTTCAATTACTCACTTTTTTGTCCGACAGGTGCAGACTTTACAGCTGCCAAAGGGCTCTGTGCGTTGTCAAGTTCTCTGTTATCGCGCGGGCAACCTCTAGTGTTACTGTCACCGCGAGCTAACGTAGCGTCAGTCTTCAGTGGAGCCGGATCTAGCGTGCTGGTTGTGTTGACAGCGGCAGAACTAGATGCCACATTACACAGTGAGTCATACTTATTAATAAAAGAAAACTTTTTACTATTGGCTACTTGGCTGTTTGTTATATACACTATTAAAATTTACTGGATATTTTGGGGAAAATATTTTAAAAGTTTCATATGATCATATTAAACCACTAACAGTTTGTTTGTTATTAATATTAAATAAAAGAAAAAAAAAACATATTTTTATTCGTTGATTTAATTTTACACATTTTTATACGTTAATTTAAATTTTGATATTTCTAGCCGTAACTTTACATTTCAATAAGCATGAGTACTGTTTTCACTTGCAACAAAGGTTAGCATCATTTAGTTTATTGAAATGTGACGTCACACGATGCTCTGTCATGTCCGCCGGCGTTTCCGTTCTTATTATCTACAGAGTATAAATCGCATGTGTGCAAAAAAAGGTGTATTTCAAATATATTTCAACAAACAAAACTCCATACTTATAAACTATACATATAAGTTATTATTACTATCACATTTCCGAATGTATTGTTAAAACTGTCAAGTAGCCAGCATATTGCACATGACTACTAATATAGTACACTACAGAAAGTTCACTTAAGTTTGCGCAGAGCAGATGTACCAAGTCCAACGATGACCAAATGTACGATAAAAAATATTTTGTCTCTTGTTTCCATGACCATAAATTTTAAATTGAATATTGGTGAGTGGCGCATGAGTATTGGTGGATCGCCCAATGGCGTGATATTTGAATCATTGCGATTTGCCGATATTTGCGACACTTTGAATTTATCCTTCTTTAGCTCATTACTCATATTTTACCGTACATTAGTCAACGGGGCCCATGATTTCTGTGAGCTCTTTATTGCCATATAAAGCAATGATAGACGATATTTGACTAACGAAAATGAGCCAGGAAAATGTGCATGCAGAGTCGTCCGCACCCTGCATGCGGATATAAATATTTTATAGTTTTATGAACCAAACTCTTATTATTTTTTATAGATCTCACCGGCCAAATTCCACTATCTTCACTCAACTCCAAATCTAGAAACGTGACCCCACCACCCAACTATGATTCTTTACGTCAAGATGATGACATCACAGAAGTGTTGGTCACCGCACCTGTTAACTCCACCCCCTTGCTCCACGGTACGAGACTTGGCAAAACCGAAATAGATGACACGTGACACTTGCGATAGAAGCTAGTATAATATTTATATCATAGATGGCGGTGTTTATATGAAAATGTATATCCTCATAAGCTGTTTTTGCAGTACTATATTCATCTCGGTTAAAACCAAACCTTAGGCATCTTCCTAGATATTTTATCCCAGTGAAAAGATGGAAACATGTTGTTTACGATTATTTCATAAATTACATAATTTTATTGTACATACAGAAAAATATATAAATTATATTGTTTTAGATAAAATGTTTAATATATTGAAATAAATATTATTTGATGTATTTTTTTATAAGTTTATTTAGTATCTACAATAAAATAAGATTAATTTAAATAGAAAATAAATTAACACGCAACTCTTTAAAGAAATATTTAAAATCTGTGCTTATTCAAGATATTAGGTATTATGTCAACTTACAATTTAGAAGCATACTTTAATATTGACTATATTAAAACGCTACAAGCCACTTAAGTATTCATTCTATAACCAAGTGCAAATAATAGTTACTTTAAATAGAAACTTAGTTACCAAAGAAAATTGATATAATATGTACATTTTTAAATAAGCTTGCTCAATTATGATCTTTAAAATAATATTCTTTAGCATTATAACAGATCGAAGAGAGATAGTTATTCACTTTCTTTTGTTTTACAAATATAGTTCAAAATGGTTTGGATTCTTGTTCTATGTTCAAACAACGCTTTGTTCTATGTAATACCATAATATTTATAAGCGTTTCCTATGATTTTTTACCATTTACCAGTATTATACACTGGACATAGTAATTTAAAATAAATACACAATTAGTACTCGTAATAAGTACAATATGTTCTTTTTCAAATATAACACATTCTTCTTTTAAAATAGAGGAAATTAAAACTTAATATTAAATAATAATATTGTTTTGTATTTAAATTCGAGAAATAGTACTTTCTTGTAAAAATCATATAATGTAGCTTTTTTTTCTTTTAGTAATACGTTTGAATTCGGTTTGTATTAAGAATAAAGTCTTACATTTGGATTGTAACTTTTTTTTCTTAATAAAAGCCTTTGCTTCGGGAAAAGATTCACATTTCAAATAAAAACACATAATTTTAATAAGAATATTTTTATTACATACAATCTAATTAAATATAAAGTACCATGTCACCTAAATAAATCTTAGCACCATTTAGTTAAGGAATAATAAATGCAGTTTCTGACTATAAAAGTAATGAGTATCATATCATTAGACTTACGTACATAGTAGATACGAATAAATAAGTTAATTTATCTTACAATTAGTCAATCAGTCCGAACTGATGAAAACCATTTTTTCAATATATAGTTGGTTCTCTATAAATTCGTAAATGCATAAAGTTAAAGCAAAGTTATCAAAATTACCATTGGCAATCTTCCAAAGCCCACATTTTAGTGCTTGCTTCTTGTAATACACAAAATAGTAATGTCATTATTTGATTTTGCTTTTATATGATTGTCTAAAAACAGTAGTAAATGCTTTATTAAATATTTAAACGGAAGATATGAGTCTTGCAACTATATGTCTAAGAAACTATTGTATTGCATGATTTTTATAAAAACTACCAAGTTTAAAGGTAAGAAAATTCATTGTTTAAGTCTCATTTTAGAATTAGCACTGTCTGTAATACTAGCTTTTTTATTTACAGATATTGCAAATTAAAATGTCCTTTAAATGTTCTGTAAGTAGATTTTAAAGTTTACTGGTGAACTACGCTGTGTAAGAACATAGGCTTAGATGCTGCGAAAAGTTTCTGTGATACGACGTGAGCGATCCTTGCGCTACGCTGCCACACTAATTCGCGGGTACGTTCGTGGTTGCTGTCTACTCGAACCTGGGAAATAAACCATAACATGAAGACTTTGTTTACCTACATTTTTTTATTAGTATTAAATCGTTCTACAACCATTCAGATTTATTGGTACCTAGTGCAAACTTAGTAAATATAAGATAAACATTGTACATCGATCTTTCCAAATACCTAGTGCAAACTTAGTAAATATAAGATAAACATTGTACATCGATCTTTCCAAATAGACATATTCGGCTTTGTAAATCACTATCTCTGACGCACCATAGATATATTGAGTTATTTATCTATGGTCGCACGAAGCATTCTAAAAGTGTATGAAGTTTGATGCCCCATAGATTCGTAATAAAATGAAACTCTTGGGAGTAAGTAAAATAAAGGTCAGCAGTGTATTTACATTACCTAAAATATACTATATTTTAAAGGGAGTAAGTAAAATAAAGGTCAGCAGTGTATTTACATTACCTAAAATATACTATATAAAGGTCAGCAGTGTATTTACATTACCTAAAATATACTATACTATATTATTTTCATGGATTTGTATAGCACCGACTGCCCGTCCGCATAATATGAAAAGTGAATAAGGAGAATAGACGTTGATCCACCACGCAGGCCCCATAGGTGGACTGCCACGTAGGTTTATCGACTGCAGATGCAGTCAGGACCTAGGTGCTTAACGTGCTTTCCGACCGTGGACGAGGTCGAGATAGTAAATAATGATCACCCATCCGAACCGGACTTGACGAATTTTGCTCAATGAGCTCTTTATAATAGCAAATTCGTCTATATAAAATTATTACCTGTTTTGGTTGCAGAACCTTAATGGCGTGTAAAGTAGCAACTCCCTGACTGTTGACCATTAAAGTGATTTTTCCACTCATCTCTGCCGTTGTAGCTGTTGCTGATTTTAATTCTTTCTTAGCACCGCGACCAACCTGTAATAATAACGATATAAGTAAAACATGTTAAAGAAACAAAATTTACAAATTCCGATGCTATTTTTCTAAGTCTCTAATGTCTATGCGAATTAGAGCACTCAATACAAATAGGTACTGTAACGTTCGTGCACATTCTTATAGGTAGGTTTACTTTTCGGACAATTTATGGTCAATGCTGGTCGTTAATATTTTGAATTATTACCTTTTCGTGTTCGTGTTTTGCTGATTAATAATCTTTTTACGGATCATGATCGGCATAGAAATTATACCAGGATTTCATTGCGCTATCCAGAGCTACTGCTGATCCCACTATAGGTATATAGTAATGTGCACGGACGTAACAGCACTTTAATTTTTCTCAATGGAATATGAACTAACGAATACAAGCCATTTGATTAAAGAAGTAGAGAAAAACAATACGCTAATCTAAAACAAAGTTTGTGAATTCAACAACACGAAATGAAAATGGACGAGATTCCGATGATAGTCTTAAATTTAACAAAAAAAAAAAACAATTATTGATATATCATAAACATGATAATTTCTATTCGAACCTTCTCTGCAATATAGTCTTATGCAAGAGCAAAGGTGCCCAGCCGTGGGCGTGGAACGGCTGATATGATAATGAGAGCACAGATAAATAAGTTAGTGAGCCAATGAAACAGTCCATAATAAAAATAACTAAAATTGGTTAGTCATTTACAGGGACGCCCTGGGGTTATACTAATCAGGAGCCTATTAATGGCTGAAGTAATTGTAATTTTGTTAAAAAAACTGTTGTCAATGCTACCTAATGTAAAAAAAACCGTATTTTGTATTAATTTTATTGGGGGTTGAGGGCACTTGATCTTAAGCCCGTTATGGCCTTATGTGAATAATTTCTATTTATACTACAGGCATTCGAATTCGAGCGAGCGAGTTATAAGTAAGCTTTTACCAAAGGATATTTCTATTGATAGAAACCAAATAAACACAAATTTCACATACCTCTTTCTCCACTCTTAAAATCAAAGGTCCGACAGCAAACTTAGCCTTAACCATTGTACGATTAGTCATTAGATTAACGCCTACATCTCCAACTCTTCTTAGAGAAGATAAACCATACAAAGTTCCTTTAGCCCTCGGTTTATTCTTCTCAGTAGTCTTGGTCTTATTTTTATTTACTACTGGCTTCTTAGTTGTGGTCTTCACTGGAGGCTTTGGTTTAGGCTTGGTTACTTTGGTTGGTGGTTTAGTTTTGATAGTTGTTGGTTTAGCTTTAGAGCTTTCAGTCTTTTCCTTGTGAGCGCGAGATTCTGAGGCATTATCTATATTTTCAACTGCAACATTGTTAGATTCTTCTACAATCTGTGGCTTTTCCTCAAATTTGGTGGCGGATTCAGGGATCTCTGTAGATTGATCCTTATTTTTGGTATCGCCAGCTCGAGCAGTGTTCTTCTTTTTGTGCGTTGTTTTCCTTAAATAATGTCAAAAGTAAATTCCTTAAATTATATCAATACTAATACGGATGTAATTTTTAGATACGTAAGTTTATTGTTACAACAGTTCTACAAGATACTGCCTCCGAAAACTTTAAGTCAGGCTGTTTTACCGTAATATAAAATATAACATAGGTAAGTTCCCAGTTTCTATAAAAAAACGTTGACCATTATGATATGACAATTAGGTTTAAAATTGACAAACGAAATTCCTCTTACAACATAATAATATTTAACTTACTTCTTATTAGATTTTGGCTTGTTTTTCTTTGGCTTAGAGCTTTTCTTGTTGGCATCGATCGGTTGCAGCTTCACACTGACAGGGTCGTATGACTTTCTTAGTATATCGTTCATTTTCTCTAATATGTTGTCCACGAAACGGTTATATTTCACTATGTATACAGCAGGAACAGGCGTTTTCGGTTTCTTGGTCGTAGATTCGCTTAGAGCGCCTGTGATTTTGCATATTTCTGGTCAATTATTGTAATCAGTGTATGTGATTTTATATAATTTATAGTATTTAGAATATTACAAAAATAAGTCACCAATATGTGGCTGTTAAGCAGCTCGGTGGCGTGGTAGATAAGCGCAGCGGCTCGCGATCGTTGTTATTAAGCAACTTTCGCAATGATCGGTCAAGGGATGTGTAACCAAAAAAATATTATCTCGAGTTACTCCGTGCTTCAGAAAGCACGTTAAGCCGTTAGTCCCAGCCGTATTTTCGATCGTTAATACTTTCCAATCCGCATTGGGCCATGGCTCATCTTCCTTAACCAAAGGAAGACCTGATTCTCTGAAGTAGGAATATAAAAAGTCTGATGATGATGATGATGAATATTTGACATACAAGTCGTAGTCTAGATACAGTCGGCCAATTTCGTTGCTAGACTTCTATAAAAAATTATCGATTTAAGAGCTATCAAACATAACGTTAATAGCCCCTCTATTGAAATTATGTTTTCATTTAGTCTTTGATCTTTTACCATTAATTACAAATTTATTTCAAATTATTTTTTACTTATGTGACGTAAATGAATAATTTTTGACAAACTTTTATTGCTATTTCAACAGTATTACAAGAGAAAGTTTATACACGATAGAAGTATTGGCGATATTAAATTATAATCTTTTGTCTTTTACGTTTGTCGTTGAATAAGTTCTACGTACCGAACTTGATCTTTGTTCTATTATATAAAAGTTATATGTTTATTGTAACACAGTACCCCAGGAATCAAATTTGTTGACTATACTTGGTAATTAAGTGATTATTATATAATTATTAGGGTCTTTAATAAAAAAAGTAGTAAGATTAGTAATTTACAGTATATACCTACCCAAATGATCATCGTAAAAAAGGTGGAAAACTCAAAGTAATGAAAGCTGACTACAAGTAAATTGAACTCTTTCTACAAAACTCCGAAAACTAAATAAAATATTTACTCATAAATAATTAAGTTTATTCTGTTAATATATTTGTGTACGATATATCAGAGATTATATTTTTAAGAGTATTTATGATAGGTGGTTGGATGTTTTAAATGCTAAATAAAATTATTCCGTTATAATAACCAAAGACTCCTTTTAAACAATATGAATCTGATTAGAAAATTAACATAATCTTGTTTTTACGCTCTGATTAGCTTCGGAAGTTGAACAAAAAGTTTTTATTCAGTTGCTAAGTAAACTACCATCTTACTGGTAACTGGCAATCAAACTGTATCTAACGATGAGAATGGTTTTCTTCGTGTCATGGTTTTCAAATAAATTCTTTTTTTTTAATTATGAGATCTATTGTTTATGTTCAAAAGTAGAATCATAATATACTCGGTGTACGTGCGATAAAAAAAATATCCCACGCCACTTTGAACAAACTGTAAAAAGTTCTAATGTCTTTTATTTTAAACACAGAATGGAATCATAAAAATTCTTAACAAGTTTTAAAAACGTAAACCACGTATCACGATAGGTACTTCTGCATAAAATTCTTTGGAGTCGGAATTTATTGTACCTTAATTAGTTATTTATTTCTCATACTCGGTTATGTTTTGCAGTAATTATCCGATTAAAGTCATTGTATTAAACTCATAAACATGAAAAGTAGGTAAATCCCAAAATGAGCATAGAACATAATAGAGTTGAGTGGATGACGTATTATTAGTGTTGAGTTTTATTGCTCAATAAAAAATAAATCCGTGACTTCCGTGGCGAATACTCCAAATCACTTTCAAAACTGTTAATGAGGCTCTATTAGCAAACAAATTTCTCTTTCAACTACCACAACATGCTTGTCACATGTTTTGGAAACAGTTATTTCCATACATGGTATCTTGCGCGTGTAACGTATACCGCAACAATAATTACACAGCTAAATATTCTACCTAATTCAAATCACGTTGTGCTGGCACGCGAACTAACTGTATCGGTATCTCGTAGCACCGATAGAATTCTAATTCTCGGTTACAATTAATACACTCAGTCAACGGTGAATTTTCTATTTTCCACACGTAAAAGAAACTGCGTGCCGGTATCGAACATCCGAAGAAATCTAATTACGACACACTTAAACCTATATTTATTTACAAGAAGTCCAAACTGACACTAACCTGCTCATCTCGTGAAACTTGTAATAAGATAACTATTATGATCATTATTGCGTAACATTGCGTTATAATCAATGGAGTTATCGTGTAAAGTTGCGATTGTAACATATAATCTACTGGGATGAATCAGTGTCGATTTTTATTAAATTTATTTGCAAACGTGACCGTACGAAAGCGCTGTGTCCAATAAAACAGGTGTGTCAAGTCATATGTATGGCCACCGGAAACAAACGAGTTCTATTTAGGTCGAATATGACTCTTCGCGACTCTCCCAACGTTTCTCGTTGGCAAACATTTAAAATTTCTCTTTTCGCATCTCATTATCTCGTTTTCACTGAGCCGGACGTACGACACGCAAATTTCGTGGTAAATTCGTCATTAAGTGAGAGTAAACATTTAGTTCGATTTACTTTCTATTGGATTATGTCGATAAGCTGGCTGGGATTTGTCAAGGTCGCCTTGAACGCGGCTGAAGCAAGGTTAAAGAAAGTGTCAAGGTTATAGAAGAAATCGGGCAGGTTCATCGAACTAGCTCGGTCGGGAAAGTAAGCGGGCTTCAGAAACGACCCACCGACCCCTTAGCACACATCACAACCGACCAATATTTCAACCAAGGACAGACGCGAGCGCACCCAACAATTTCGATTACTTTTCTAACTAGTTTTAAACATCGTGACTACCAATTTTAGATACTGTATTATACAGGATGGATAATGGGGAAAGGAAAGAGATTGGTTGTGCGTTAGATTCAAATACGTAGATAAATGTATATCGGTCAAAAGGCTAGTTATAATAACTAATTTTAATCATTACATATACAATACTGCTACATAACCATGCTATGGATTCAAAGGAATAAGATATTAGATATACCTGTAGTTATAAACATACATCTTTGAATATATGTAATACTAACGGATACGGGTATAGGAATAGTTATAAATTATTGTATGCTGACTAGTATACATTTTATTATAACAACAAAATTAAATTAATATAACTAGATAATGTCACTCGATTAGCTGACAATTGCAATATTATGCAACTAGAATTTTGACCGATGCATAGTGTTTCGGAAAACGATCTTCAACGCACAAGTCATCTCTAAGGTAAAACAAAAAATTTCACACAACAATTTAGAACAACAGATTTATTTCCAATAAATTGCCACGAGACCAGTGTGACATGATCTAGACATTAATTTAACTTCAACTCTTTCGGTTCCATACTTACACTTTCACACATCAAACACACGCACTTAATAAATAAAATAAATTAAATGGAATAAATAAATAGTCAATAAATAGCTAAGCTAAAGGAGGGGACCGTAGGGTCACTCAGGTGGATTTGGTGGCGTATCTCGACTCCGCCTAGTCACTATCTGAACTTTTTGTGTTCTGGGGCCGACGCCGCGGCGGATGTCGCTTTGGTATTCTTAACTTTTCCGATGTAGTTCGCTTTTTTTCCAGTCTTTTTCGCATGCGCCGCGACGATCGCCTTCAATTTTTTTGACTCACGTGCGTGCTTCTCGGAGTTATTCCTGCCGAGGACATCGGCGACGTCATCTTCATCGTCATCGTCTTCCTCCTCCTCGTCCTCGTCATCATCATCCTCTGCTAGAGCATCAGTAATGTCATCATCGTCTTCATCTTCATCCTCAGCGTCGGCAGCAGGGGACTCTGCGGCGGCTGCCTCTACTTCCGCACTAGCGGGTTCCTTCTGACCGGCTTCGGGTTCCTCGCTTTCTGCGACAGCTTCAGATTCTGCCGCCTCAGCGTCTTCCGCAACAGCGGCTGCTTCCTCCGAAGCGGCCGCGACGGGTGCAGCGGCTACTGTGTCAGCGGGTGCAACCACAGGCTGAACAGCTGCGACCGCTGGCTCGTCATCCTCGTCATCTTCATCATCTATAGGTCAAAACGGAAGTTATTATTAATTCTTAATCATATTTCTTATAAAACTTCTGAATAAAAAATAACACAATACATCTTACCTCCTAAGATGTCATCGAAGAATCTCTCCAAGTAGTCTTCGTCGTCATCGTCATCTGCTTCTTCATCATCCTCTTCGTCATCGTCATCGTCGTCATCATCATCATCATCATCTACGTCAATATAATAAATATTAAGAGTGTTATCATGTTTTTTCTAAAGTGATCAACAATTAGCGCACATTATCGATAAGGTAGTAAGCCCCTAAAGTAAATCAACTGAGAAAACTGTTAATGAGCGTATACGCCGGTTGCGCGTTTCGGTGCGTGACGTCCTGCTTGGCGAGGCTTTCGTCTAGAAAGCAGTCGTCAATTTCTCTGATTGAGTCTTACTGTTTGCATTAATTAACTATTGAGAACGCTGTCACGCTGTTCGGCTTACATTCCGCGCTAGCCCCGGCCTAGATTTATGGAATTTTTATTGATATAATGTAATACTTTCTCTATGTTATTTTAAATGATTACTTAATTTATTTAATATATATCGTTTGGTTCTATATACGATTTCAAAAGGGTGTATTAAATATCATAAGTTTCTTCTACCTTATCGATTAAGAATTTAATGGTGAAATTTATTCAATACATTAACATAGAGACGACTTGAATTGATCTGCTGATTTGAAATGGTCACCTGATAATGAAGTAATAAATCAACGGCATACATAAAACCATAAACCTGTCTGTATATCCAGATATAATCTACTGAATGTAATGTCATTGAACATTATTATTATTAAGCAATTTATCTAGTACCTACTGAATCAGACGCTGTCGTATTAAACACTGGATAGAATATTCTATACATGCATATTTTATATTAACCGTTATGATTCTTATAATTTCAACGGTAAAAGCATCTACCGGTCACTAGTCTTATTTCTACACACAACCACTCCTTCAATTAACACATACATGGTAAATCATGATACAGTTAAGTACAAAACTAATTTATAATGCTTTCAAAAAGTTATAAATCGAAGTTAATAATAGATACTATTCATAAGCTAGTGTCGAAAAGTTTAATTTCTGAGAGACGTAACTATTCATATAAGTAGCTGAATGTTTCTACATTTTCGAAGTTCATGAACCTACCTCCAAGAGCCAAGTCTACGTCATCGTCATCATCGTCGTCGTCATCGTCGTCATCGTCATCGTCGGCCGCGGGGGCTGCTGGCTGCGCGGCCGCCTGCCTACCAACCTCCTTCACTTCCTCCTCCTGCCTGGAGATAGGGCTCGAGTACGCCGACAAAACTAAGCAGCACAATGCCACCAACAACAATAAAGACCTCATCTCGTATCTGAAACAAACATTCCTTTAATTTCACGATAAACCGGCGACTTTTATCACGTACACAACACTTTTATCACAACACAACACGTGCTAATCACTTCACTTCACCTTTAATGGAACTGTCACAGATATGAACCGGCGGGAAGAGTGCCGCCCGCGTCCTTCAGTGCCGGTGGTCGGGACGCTATGGCCGTGGTTGGCGGAAACGGTATAGCGGCGGCGTCTTCACTGACCGCTCTTTTATAGAGTTACGTCACACACGTAGGGAAGGAAAGTAGTGATGGTAAACGCCCGCCACAGATCACCGACCGCAGAGCTTTCTTCGGGTAAACTTTGTGTAAACATAAGCTAATTTGCAAAGGGGTTCCGTTTATTCTGATCTACAACTTTTTATAAGCAAATTACGTAATAGTTGTGACACGAACTCGTAAAGTTGCATCAATTAAGGCCTCAATTCTGCTAATATTAACATGATAACTGCATTTTGTTATTCTACTAAATACCTGAGACCCAATATTACTAGTACAATGTCTTTTTGACAATGTATTTTTGTGTGCTATTTTACTATAATAAAACGGGTGATTTTTGTTTTTCGGGGAATATCTATCCAAATAAATAAGCATTTGCATTTTATGAGTCAGTTCCTGCCTATTTGACATTTCTCTTTAACAGTTGAGATCAGAGCAAGTTCGAAAAGAAAATGAAATAATAAATATGGTAAGCTGAAACAAAATAATGCCGGCTGCTAGATATTGATATGCTTCTTTTAATAAAACCTAAAAGTTACAGAAACCTAGAGCAATCTCCAGGTTAGTGTAAGCTTACATGTCAAGGAATCACATCTCTGGCAGCTAAAGCACTTAATATTTTTTTTTAATGAATAAGAGACTCTGGCGTCGACTAGTTTAGCTATTTAAATGTAACAAAACGAGAGTGAAGATTTAAATAGGCCTAAATACTCGTGACTAAAATATAAATTACAGACGATAGATAGTTACCACGTGTTTTATATTCCCAATTAAATCAAATAAGTAAATTTAAGACAACATGGCTCAGATTTCAGGATGAGCATCATAACACCATAACACTCAGATCCGAGAAAACATAGTTCATTTTCTAAATTGACCTAACATGAATCGAAGCTGGGACTTCAGTGATGGCGAAACTTTGGAACCGGCACACTCGGTTTCGGAGGTTGGTACAATACTATGTTTTGAAACAATGGACTATTTCCAGAACTACATAATCTATGACCGACGGGGGGTTGAATAGGTTTTATTCATTAATTTATTCGTCTTATTTACAATGGTCATGTATCATTAGAGAAAAGTGTATCCACCTCGTGTGGTGTCGGAATCTTAAAACATTTGAACATTAGTATGAGCGGACTGGTCCCATACTTTCACTGAGGTAAGGTTATGTGTGTAAACTCGCTTTAAGTAATTGATGGTGTGACGTAAAAGATATGTGTCGATATTTGACAATGTTATATGCTGTGGAATATCAATAGTTTTCTAACTACATCAGTAAATATAGTAGAAATTTTGGACAAGATTTCCATGTAGAGCTGTAGAATTCAGTAAAAGACGTAAGTATATATCTGTGCATATATAATCAATATAAAATCTATACTATTCAAATCTAAGAGATTATACATTAGACTAGCTGTTTTCTCGCCATTTCGCTTGCGTAAAGAAGTAGGTGAAAGAATTTTTAAAATTGTTCCAGTAGTTTCGGACCCATTCAATCAAATCTTTCCTCTTTTTTATATTATTGGTATAAATATAAACTATTACTTGTGTAATAAAAAATCTATTATTTTAGTTTTATAGAAATTAGTTCAAAATTCAAGAAGAAATCGATGAACATACCTACTTTCATAAAAAAAAATACACCAAATAGTAAAGTATACATACTAGTTGAACGTAGAAATATTTTGAATCCTCTTTTAATATTTTGAATGAATGCAAAATACGAAATCTTTTGTTTTTTAGCTAAAATAAATATATCATCTAAATACTTAGGTGAAATCTGATGAAAAGCGTATTTTGTTTTGTTATAAAAGCAAAACTACTGATTCGATTTCGATAAAATTTAAATAGGACCACTTTCAATAAGTCTAATAAAATAAGTATATTGAAAATTGGTCAACAATTGGCGGAATAATCGTGTAACAAACACAAAAAAAACATACAGTCGAATTGAGAACCTCCTTTTTTGAAGTCATTTCAAAATTATCATGAAAGTTGTATTATTACATATTTCAATATACCTAAAGTCCTCATGAATAATCCTGTTCAATCAACTATTTTAAGTTTGTTATCTTAAATTAAACTTTTTACTGTTTGACAATACAAAGAAAACAAAGTCTATGTGTTTCACATATGTAATAAATAAATCATAAATTATCTGTATAATAAGTTGGTAATTTCATTGTTGATAAATTTAAGTAAATAACTATGGAAATTATGATTTTTTTTATAATGTTGTTCGAAAACTAGTAAGATTCTTAACAATGATTCAAAATTCTGAATGAATGTGCTTAGATACATGAACTTTTGATAAGAAAGTTCTTTTAAACACCACATATACCAGTGAAAGTGAGTAATAAAATAAAAAATAAATAAATAACATATTTCGATTTCACACAACGACCTACAACGATTTTTATGTTCGAGATGCCGGAACAAGATCATCAACGACATCATGCCTTAAAGGGTCATGTTTAAATTAAAATTTTAAAACCAAGTTAAAAAATAATAAAAACTTCATATTCATTAATTATGTAAGTGTCATTTTTTTATTGAATACTAGCTTTTTTTGCAACTTCACCCACGGAACTTATATTCTATCTAACCCACGGACGATAAAATCTACTGTAGTGGAATTACTTTTTTAAAACGGTCCAGTAGTTTTGGAGCGCATTCGATGCAAAATAACAGTCAAATCTTTCATCTTTATACTCGTAATATTAGTAAAGATCGCACGCATATAAAGAAGTTTAATCATCCCACAAATATAAGGCAAAAAGTCTAGAAAATCCGGCGTAGAGCTTAACAGCATGCGATTACGTAAATAGCACATAATATAGATTCGCAAAGTCAATGATAAATAATAGTCACTTCTTTTCATATACGAGTATATATTTGATTCTAAAACTTATTCGTTAATTAATGAATAAGAATTTAAAATTGAAACTGGTATTATTAGATTGGGAAACATAAAAAGGAACACCGTAAATCATCTATTTAGAAATGTCAGCTTTTGTCAGCAATTTTTTTTTTTAATAATTTTGTGCGTTGTAATTATGCGATAAAAATAAGGTAGAATATTTGAATGAACTTAAGAAATTAACTTTTAAGCCCTTTAATTTTATACCCAGGATGTCATTAAAGTTCTTTGTAACTTTGCGTCATATTCAATATTTAAACTGATATCATACACCTGTCTACATAAATCAATCAAATATAATCATTAATGCTAATTGTGAAAATAACATTCAATGCTAGACCGAACTTTCAAAACTTTGCATACAATAATTTGCCAAACTCAATAAAAAAATTAAATAATGAAAAAGATTACGAAGCAACTAAAAAGCATTATTATATCATACAACACTACCTAAGTGAAAAACTTTATTTAAATATAATATTCTAGTTTTGTATCTTCGTTTAAATATGTATTTTATTATTAAATATCTAATAAATAGGTGAGTTTTCAAAACATAAATTATTTAGTTTATTTAAGACAGACCAAAATTTTAAAGCACAGAATCTTCCCCTCTCTCCGTAACATTTCAATACTACATTGTGAAATGATATAAATAAATAAATAAAATATGTTAAATAATAGTAAAATACGATATTTTTTGACGTTGAAATAAAGTATTTACTCGGGTACATAGGTATTGTCAATCCTAACATCCTTTTATACCACTCTGTGATGTAACAGTCATTTATATGAGACTTTTACTAAGCAATATTATGCTGTTATTCCTACAATGTTGTTAGAGCTTTCTATTGATACAAAAATAGCTTTGTGTATTTAATGTCATGAAATCATCTTTATTATTAACGTTTTCAAAAATAGCATGCCAAGTATGTCAAATAGCATGTCTAGACATGCTATTACTTATTTTATACTTATTGTACTTATTTTATATCTAGATAGAATTATGGAATATTTTATAGTATAAATTGGCCTATACTGATATTTTCCTCAAGCTAGACAGACACTTTAATTTCGTTTCATTATGTGACTGTGTAGTATACATATTTACTTTAATAAATGTTCTTTCTTTATTATTATACTAGCCCGCAATTATATACACTTCTACCTAATTGGTATAGTTTCCTTAGTCAAGGATTGTTGTCTGCTAGAGATCGCTGCCTTAGCAATAAGACCTATTTCATATTTATGGTCCTAGTCGTGTGTTTTTATTAAAAAGTTATTGAAAAAACATGCACGGTCTCAGGCCTTCCTTATGGATGATAAAGGATGGGCCATGACTCTCAATGCTAGCCCAATGCGGATTGGAGGTTATTAGCAACTGCAAATGCAGCCTGGATCGGCTTAGCGTGCCTTCTGAAGCACAGAGTAGCTAGCTCTATATGATAATTTTTTGATCACCCATCCCGAGACGGACCTTTGCGAAAGTTACTTAACAACAATGAATGTGGGACGGGGCGCTTATCCACTATGCCATCAAGTTACTCACACGTAAGCTTTGTTGTAAATATACTAGTGAACATTTTCTCCTATTTTGTAAGGAAGATGACCAAAGTAGTCGGGCCGTCGAAACAGAACCTAGAAAGGTCTAAACCCGTTTTCGGTGTCGGAGGCGTCCACAAATATTTGTATGCGCGTTGTGAATGGGCCTCGTGGACTTTCTCTTGAGTCTCTAACACCCACATTGGCGCGTCTGGTGTGTAAGCACATAGTCTTGTTACAGTACAATTATAAAATCGGACAATGTACAAAAATGTGTAAAAAATTACATTTGCTGTATTTTATAACCAGCCTTGCTGAGTTTCTTGCCGGTTCTTCTCAGTACAAGATAGATTTGTGAACAGCCTAGACCGAATAAATGATAATGAATTTGAATTTTAATGGCAAATGTCAATAAATTAAACAAAAAAAAAGATAATAATATGATAAATTGAAAAACAGAATACCAGCGTTGGTGTGACACTCCTGTGTGTCATGCCAACATCAGCTGAGGCAGAGTCCCGATTGATTTCTTAAAAGTATATGTTATTTTTCGTCCTATGTGTATC